TTTTATAACAACAAAAATATTTTTTTTTTTTTTTTTTGTTTTTGTAATAATATTAAATTTATAATATATATTATTTAATCATATTTATATAATATAAATTTATCGTGTATATATTGTTATTGTGGGTTTTTTATTAATAAAATTATCTAAAAAAAAAAAAAATATTAATTAATTTTTTTTTTAATGTATAGTATTAAAATTATTAACAATAATAACAACAACAACAATTTTAATAATAAAAAGAAACTAATCAAACAAAATAAATCTATGAATAAAAAATAATTTTTTAAAAATAATAATAATAATAATAATAATTTTAAAAATAATAATAATAATAATATTTTAGAAAATTAACTTTTGGTTGTTATAATTATCATTTTTTAATAATAAATTAAATAGTTTCAATAAAAAATAATTAATAGAACCAAAGAAGATGTCGAATAAAATTTATTTATTTATTTATATATTTTTAATTTTATTTTTTATAAAAAATGTGTTTTCAGAAACATATGACTATAATGTAATATCAAACTCACCTTTAAAAAGCATGCCCAATCAACCTTACTATATATTTCAACAAACTATAAACCACTTATCATATGACACAATTGGAACATTTGAACAAAGATATAGTGTTAATAAAAAATTTTTAGCATCGAATGGGAAACCTAAAGCAGTTTTTTTTCTCGTAAGTGGGGAGGGACCACTCAGCTCAGAGATTGTAAACCACAATCCATTTGTAAATATTGCAAACGAAACCAATGCTTTAATAGTGGCTTTAGAATTGCGTTATTATGGCGAAAGTATGCCTTTTCCAAATATGAATAATAGCAATATGGCATATTTAACAACCGACCAAATATTAGAAGATTTAGCAAATTTTCAAGTATACTTTACAAATAAATATCAACTTGGTGATATCAAGTGGATTATAATGGGTTGCTCTTATGCAGGCACAATCTCTGCATGGTATCGTTTAAAATATCCTCATCTCGTAACAGCCGCTATTGCTTCATCATCTCCATTCCGTGCAGAACTAAGATTCACAGAATATGACGTTAAAGTAAGACAAAACCTTGGAGCCCCTTGCAGTAAAGCATTCAAAAATTTATTTGCCTACATTGAACACTTGATGCTTAAAAACAACAGCTATGTTAAATCAAAATTCACCTGTGAAAGACAATTGGACGACCGTATGTTTTTATATTTACTATCAGAAGCTTTGACCTACTCAGTACAATATGACGCAAGATTTAAAATAATTTCAAGTGTAAGTAATAAAAAAAAAAACAAAAAAAAAAAATTAAAGTTTAATAACAAATTTTTTTTTATAATATAGTTTTGTCCAAAATTTGTAAAGTTTACAAATAGTAGTGATGATTTATTAGATATGTTTTCTGCATATGTAAAGAATATGTTTTTATTTCAAAATGTATCCTGTGATGCCTATAATCTTTATGAGTTTGCAAGTAACGATATTGACTACTCTGGTACAAGATCGTGGACTTGGCAATTATGTAGAGAATACGGTTGGTTTATGGTTCCTTCTGGCCCTGAATCATTCAAACCACAACAATTAGGTGAGTGTTGGTGGCAAAATGATGTTTGCAAAACATTGTACGGAAGAGCCATGAGACCCACTGTAGATAGAATCAATATGGTATATGGCTCCACCAATTTTAAATATATAAGTAATGTTTTATTTACCAATTGCGGAAATGACCCTTGGAGTACCCTATCGATTGACCCAAATTTAGTATTACCATTCTCCCAACAAATATATATACCTGGTGAATGTAAGTCTAATTATCAATATAAAATATTTAAAATTTTTAAATGTATTAATAATTTTATTTATTTTTTATTATTATTTTAGCACATTGCGCAAATTGGTTGTCAGAACAACCAAATGATTCATTAGAATTAAAAAATGCAAGATCCTTAGCCAATTCCTTTTTAAGACAATTTATAAAACCGGACTGTGATGAAGGTGAATGTGGTGTTAAAAATGGATTATGCATTGCTAAAAAACTTACAGATTTAACAGCAACCTCTGTATGTATATCGAATGGAAAAATACAAATTACCAATCAAATCAAGAACCAATTAAATCTAATGAAAGAATCTAATAGTTCAATATCGAATTTAAACAGTACCCATACTAATAATACAAGTGGTGATGACGATGATGACCAAAACATTGACCTGGATGATGAAGTATCCACTAATGAAATTTGCTCCAGCTCTAGCTCCCTATCCTCCAATTCCCCTTCTAAATCTTTTTATTTAACGTTAACTTTATTATTTTTATCCACAATATCGACATTATTAATTATTTAAAAAATAAAAATAAAATAAAAATAAAATAAAAAATACAAAATAAAAAAACCAAAACCAAAAGACAACTTTTTTTTCTATGGCGAGATTTTGTAAAAGAAACCCCACTTAAAAAAATTAAAACAGTAATTTAAAAAAAATAAATAAATAAACGTGTATCCCATTTATTTATTCATTTTTTTTTTTGCCTACTTGGCGTTTTGATTTTTTTAAATGATGTCTCTTTTGTTGCATAATCAAAAAAAAAAAAAAAAAATTAAAAAAAAATAAAATTTTAACACAAAATTTTGTAAGGTGTGTTGATTGAATGATGACAGTTTAAATCATTTTGGAATGGTTTGTTAAAATAGGAAAAAAAAAAAAAAATAAAATAAATGAATGAATGAATGAGTGAATAAATAATTAAATAAAAAGGAAACAAATAAAAAAAAGAAAAAATAATATAGTTTATAAACTACTATTGAGATATTATTATTAAAAAAACTAAAATTAAAAAAAAAAAAAATTAAAAAAAAAAAAATTAAAGTTATCGAAAATATTTACCTCCATATAAACGGCCCATGCCCAGAATGTAAATCTCATTTATTTGAGTTTCGGAATAAATAATTACATTCACATATATATATTTAACTTATTAAATTATATATAGTTGGTTTCCCAATTAATGTAAATATTTATATATATAGAGAAAAAAACATTAAATAAAAAATTTAAAAAAATTTAAAAATTTAAAAAAAATAAAAAAAAAACTTTTTTTTTTTTTTTTTCAAAAATTTTTTTTTTTCATTTTTTTTTTTATACAAAATTTTTTTTAATTATATAAAAAAGTAAACAATACAATTTTTTTTATTATAAAAAAAATACTATAATTATTTAATTTAAAGACAATTATCAATAACAACTTCAGCAACAATATTAAGATAAAGGGTAGATTATCATAATTATTTTATTATTTTTTTTATTTCTATTGTTTTTATTATTATAATAATCATTTTAATTTAGAGTAGTAATAGCAGTTGTAAAGTATAGTTTTATAAACATTAAATAACTAAAAATAATGATTATTTTATTTAAATCATAATATTATTAGTTTATATATTTTTATATTATTATGATCATTTAACAAACTAATAATATACACACAATTGTTTAAAAACTATATAGTACTTTTTATGGTGCAATAAAAAAAAAAGAGGATACACTTACATTCTTACCAAAAAAAAAAAAAAATATAAATAAATAAAAATAAAATAAAATAAAAAAAAAATAAAAAAAAAAAAATAAAAAGTTATGTTTTAGATTTGTTGTAGTAATAAAAAAAAATACCCATCAACGCAACAACAACAATAATAATATGACATAAAACCAACAGTAGCAATAATAACAACAAAAATATTTTAAAACACATATTTTATTTATAAATACACATTATATAAAAAATTATATTTATTTTGTCTTTTTTTAAATTTTTTAATAAATATTTTTTTCCACTTACTCACAACCCACACTCGCACAATATATAAATAGTACATTTAAACATTTTCTCCTATCCCTCTTTCTGTTTATTTTTATATCCACCACATGTGTTTAGTTTATTATGCACATATAAATAAAATAAAATAAAATAAATAATAAAAAAAAAAAAATAGTTAACACTAACCCACTCCTATATTTCATTTATTTATACAGATAAATAGTATTATACAACAACATTACATCATAGTTAATCTTATATATAAAAATATTTAAATACAGCAACATATAAACATTTATAAATTATAACATTTAATAGAGTTAACAAAAAAATAAAAAAAATAAAAAAAGTTTTAAATAATAAATAAATAAATAAATAAATAAATAAAATAAATAAATAAAATAAAAAAATAAAAATAGATAAAAAATACAGTATAAAGATAGCTCGTAATAATATTAAAGAATTTCATTCTTTATCAAAAATATAATTAGGATTATATTTAAATTTTTTATATATATAATATTTTTATATATATATTAAATTTTTTTTATTTATATTTATAAATAAAAAAAATTCTAGAAGTATTTTATATAGATTATATAGGAAATATAATTTACTCTAGAGTATAAAATAATAGAGAGTAAAAATAGAAATAGTTTGTAATTATAGTCTTTTTTAATAGTAATAATAGTAATAGTAGTAATAATAGTTATAAAATCATGAATGCAAATAAAAAAATTATAAATCAAATTATAAGGAATGTTGTACAACAAAACAGTATACCAGACGGAACGATACCGAGTGCTGAGGCATCGTTTGCTTTAAATAGATATCTTGATGATCCAAATACTGTGGATTTAGGTAATAACAATAATAGTAATAATAAAAAGTATTAAATAGAAAAGGATTACTAATTTTTTTTATAGTTTATATAAATTTAATTGAAAGAATTAGAAATGAAAAGTCAAATTATGAACAAGTTTTATCAAGAATTTTAAAATTAATTAAAAATAATATAGCTATACATCCACCATCATATCAAATATTATTAGAATTGGATATATTTTTCCTTTCTCTAGCACCAACTTGTAGTTTAATAATACAGAAAACATTGACTTATATTAGGGCTTTAATAGCTCATCAAGTTAAACAAAATCCAAATTATGAAAAAAATTTTAAATTAAATGAAAAGTTTGTATCAATCTTTTTAAACTTTACATAAATTTATTTAATATTAATTTTAAAATATTTTTTATTTATTTAATATAGTCAAAATCAAAACAATCAAAACCATCAAAATAGTAATCATAAAAGAAATAATAGTAGTACAATTGGATTTTTAAGATATAGAAGTCAATCAGCGTCAAATTCTAGTGGTACAAGAGATGATCATTTATTACAATTCCAAAGATCGTCGTTGGATTTAAGTAACATTTTAGCAAATTCAATATCATCAGCAAATTCATCAAATACCTCATCTTCCTCTTCATCACCTGTATCATTAAATGAATCACCACTTAAAAATACTTTAAATAATTCTAGCTCTTTAAATTCGACCCATTTATCACCAACACTTTCATCATCTGCGCATAATGATACCACTATTAATAATGTAATTCCTGTAATACCATCAACAAATCAACAATCAATTCATGTACAACAAATTCAAAATAGTTTAGTTTCACCATCATCTTCAAATTCATCCTCCACCTCGCCATCAGGCTCAATTTTAAATATAGATAAACAACAGCAACAACTTAATAATATAAACAACAACAATAATTTAAATAATAGTTTAAATCAATTAAGTAATTCAAGCAATATACTGGGTCAAAGTTTAGGTTTAAAAGAAAGCACAAGTTCAATGTCAAGTACCAATGGATCACCAAGTTTTTATATCGATGGTTATATTAGAGATTTAATGTCAATAAAAGCATCAACAAAATCCTCAATAAGTAAGTGTGATAGTTTAGGTTGTTGATTGGATAAACAGGTTATATAATTAATACTAACATTATCTAATTTTAATTATATATTTTTTATAGAAGCACAAAGTTTATTAACATCATCACCATTTGGAGGATTAAATCAAAGTGAAGTTAAACCAAATAAAGATGTATTTAAATGCCCAGACGATTCAAAGAATTGGACAAGAATTAATATAGTAAAAGAAAGTAAAAAGAAAATTGAAAAGAAAGATCAAACCCATATTTACATTTCGAAGAAGAAAACCAGCATTATTTCAATATAAATACTATAAAGATCAAGAGCCTTTAAAGATTACTGAGCAAGAAATTGTGCAAGTTGTCAGAGTTATTATAAATCCAGCTACACCACAGGATCGTTCAATTGCCACCAAAATTTTTATTAAAATTATACTAGATATCTATTGTAAAGATGGTTTAGTGGTCCAAAGTAGTGAAAAATTAATATCAAGTTATTTCCATCAATTCATATCAAGCACAAATAGAGACACCAGGGCTCATACATTTAACATATTATTTAATCTCTCCATTCACATAAACCTTTACTCTGAATTAAAATTAGAAGATGGCGGCAATATTCAAACTACAAATAGCAGTGGCGGCTTGTCAATGATTAGAGATCTCCAGGAAAGTGTTTTTAGAATTTTGGTTGAAATGGTACAACATTTAATAGATTTTAAAGAAAGAGACGAAAGAACTTGGCAAGAAGCATTAAATTGTATTCTTTTCTTTATCACTGAAGAGGGTTATGTTATCAAAGAAAAATTATTCCAATTAAATTCTCAAATGATTGCAAGTTTTTTATTATATATTCAAGATTTAAATGATAATGTAAAAG